AGCAGCTGCCAAAAAAGCCAACACAGTTCTAGGCTGCATAAACAGAGTTATAGACTCAAGATCATGTGAAGTGTTAATACCACTTTATAATGCCTTGGTAAGGCCACACTTGGAATACTGCATTCAGTTTTGGTTGCCACAATGTAAAAAAGATGTGGAGACTCTAGAAAGAGTGCAGAGAAGAGCAACAAAGATGATTAGGGGACTGGATTAGGGGCCATGAAGAACGGTTATAGAAACTGGATATGTCTAGTTTAATGAAAAGAAGGACTAGGGGAGACATGATAGCAGTGTTCCGACAGCTCAAGGGCTGCCACAAAGAAGAGGGAGTCAAGCTATTCTCCAAAGCACCTGAAGGCAGGACAAGAAGCAATGGATGGAAACTAATCAACGAGAAAAGCAATCTAGAACTAAGAAGAAATTTCCTGAGAGTTAGAACAATCGGTGGAACAACTTGCCTCCAGAAGGTGTGAATGCTCCAACACTGGACATTTTTAAGAAGAGGTTGGACATTTGCCTGAAATGGTATCGGTTTCTTGCCTGAACAGGTGGTTGGACTAGAACAGGGGTAGCCAAACCCCAGTCCGTGGACTGGCACTGGGCCACAGCATGCCAGTAACTGGGCCATACAAACAAGCGAAGCCCCATCCATGGTATACAGGCAACATGCAAAACCACACAACCTCCAGTTTGCGGAAAAATCTCCATGGAACCAATCCCTGGTGCGCACTAGACTGGAAGACCTCCAAGTTCCCTTCCAACTCCGTTATTCTATTCTAGCTCAGGGCTTACTGCTGATATGAAGTTATTTTTCTTTCTTTCTTTAGCGCTGTGTGGATAGACTGAAAAGTAGTCGGGCCAAGTTGCTTGAAAGATATCGTCAAGTGGGAGAAAATGGAGCGAGTAGACCAAATAAAACTTTGCTGGTACAGGAGGTGATGGAAGTTGAGTGGAAAGCTTTGCATTCTGTGGATTCTCAGCTACCCTCTCTCAGAAAACACGATTCTTCCCAGGTTAGTGCCATATGAAGAAGTTTGGGAGGTGGGGGGGGGGTCAGGACATAGGTCTGGTGTCCATGTTCTTAAAGCAGTTTCTCAACTTTAGTAACTTCAAGTGTGGACTTCAACTCCCAGAACTCCTCAGCCAGGCTGGCTAAGAAATTCTGAGTGTTGAAGTTCACAGATCTTCAAGCTGTCGAGAAACACTGCTTTAAAGGGATCAATAGTCTTTTCTGATGTCATCATGCAATGGTAGGGCCAGAAACCAGGCACAAAATTTCAAGATGTAATTATCGTACTTGCAAATCTGGCCACATCTTTTCAGATATGACTTATTCAAGTTTGTTTTTATTTCATATTGGTTTGAAAAGGTGGTTTAGGACTGGAAAGAAAGTCCTATTCTTTCTTGAATAGCAATTTATCAGAATGTTTAACATATATGTTTTTCTTATTAAGCAAAAGGAAACACTTCTGTGGTTACTTGTAGAAATTAACTTTGCATATGAGGCTTTTAAAATAATTTTAAAACCAATTTCAAGATCATTTGAAAAAATAAGTGGGATATGAATAGAAATACAATTTATTTTTAATATTTTATAATAGTTTATATTTTATTATAATTTATTTGTTGTGAGCTGCTCAGAGTCATTGAGAATCAGATAGCATATGCATGTAATACATTATTATTTTGAAAATCCAAAAATAAATTTTGAAGCAGTTATAACAGGAAAAAATGGGTGGAAAAAATGAATGCTCAATTGGCATGTAAAACCTTGTATTACTTATAGAAAAGCTGTGTTAGAAACACACTTTCTTTTTTTTAAAAGCAACATATCATTCTACCACTGCCAAAATGCATCATCACAATAATTCTGAGAGGGGGGCCGGCAAATGCGTGGGCACAGCCTGACTCACACCTGCGGGGGGCGCCGGCACTCACAGCCCCACTTGTGTGGGCACCAGTGCTCGCAGTCCCACATGGACAAACATGGGCACCAGTATTTGCAGCCCCACTTGTGCGAGCATGCACACCTACCCTTCACACAAAATTATCTCCCCCCTCAACAGCCCCTTGCCTCCCCCGCCCTACCCTGGGCCTTGGAAATTTTAGGGAACAGTGCCTTAGGGGAGGCCAAAATGCCTTCCAGCTTCTTGAATGATGGACCTGATGTTATAAAGCAGTGGAAAGATTTTTACTTAGAACTCACCCTTGTGTTCTGAGAAATGTTTAGTAGATAGAGCCTAATGTATGTAGTTCACTACTATGGAAGGGTACTGGGCAAACATCTGTTTCCAGTCTTGATTTTGGAGACAGTATGCAGCCAAGAAATTAAAAGATGCTTGCTTCTGTGGAGGAAAGCTATGGCAAATCTAGACAGCATACTAAAAAGCAGACACATCCCCCTGCCAACAAAAGTGCGTATAGTCAAGGCTATGGTTTTCCCAGTTGCAATGTATGGTTGTGAAAGTTGGACCATAAGGAAGGCTGAATGCCAAAGAATGGAGGCCTTTGAACTATGGTGCTGCAGAAGATTCCTGCGAATCCCTTGGACTGCAAGGCAATTAAACCGGTTAGTCCT